ATTTCTCGTAGAAAAATAAGGATTTAACAATTAAGCTCCGTCCCTCGGCTTACGACGAATAAAACAAAAATCATTAGAATTGAGATAGGACGGGTTTATGTTTTGCCTTTTTTTCTTAATATACATAGCCATCTTTCACAACAAGAAACTTAAAACATGGTTAAAATGGTAAATTTTTGCAAGGAAATGTGGATTTTGCAATTATGGGGCAGAGCCGAATTGCAAAATCGATACATATTTCCTTATACAAATTTTCCATTTTAAACATATTTTAAGTTTCATGTTGTGAAAAGAAGTCTACACATATTAAAACAAAAACGTAAAGTGTAAGCCCGCCCACCCGCCCTATCTCAATTGTGATCATTTTTGTTATTCGCCGTGAACCAGGGGGGCGGAGTTTAACTGCAAAATAGTTATTTCCTTACAAAAATTTACCATTTTAAACGTGTTTTAAGTTTCTGAGAATAAAAAAAAAATCCTGACAATTGAGATGGGGTGGGTTGGCTGGGTTTATATTTTGCCTTTTTTCTTAATACATATACATAATATGCTTTGAACAATATGATACTCAAAAACATGTTTTCAATTTCTCGTAAAGAAATAAGGATTTTGTAGTTAAGCTCCGCCCCCTTGGATAACGACGAATAAAAAAAATTGGTCTAAAGAGTTTCGACAGTACTTCCCTCGCTGTCGGAAACGTGACGACTGCATGCCTATTATGTTTTTTTTCGCAGTGGATTTCAAAGAATTCGGTTTTGTAGTTCCTGAGTAAATCAATAAAATAAATTTACGCATTCATTAATTTTTTTTAATCACCCTGTATATGCAAATCCAAAAAAAAAATCAATGGAGTGATAAATCACAAGTACAGACTCATCATATTTTGTACAGTTTAGATAGGATTTATTCGGCAAACTTTCGAGCTGACGTCATCAATTTTTTGGAGGGGATAAGCAAATGTATTTTGACTAAACATTTATTATGCTCTTTATAACCTTAAAACATCTTCAAGATTTCAAAGCATTCGGTTTTGTAGTTCCTGAGTAAATCAGTAAAATAAATTTACGCTTTCATTAATTTTTTTCAATCACCCTGTACATGCAAATCCAAAAAATATGAATGGAGTGATAGATCACAAGTACAGACTGATCATATTTTGTACATTTTAGATATGATTTATTCGGCAAACTTTCGAGCTGACATCACCAAGTTTTTGGAGGGGATAAGCAAATATATTTTGACTAAACATTTATTATGCTCTTTATGACCTTAAAACATCTGCAAGATTTCAGAGCATTCGGTTTTGTAGTTCCTGATTAAATCAATAAAATATATTTACGCATTCATTAATTTTTTTGAGTCACCCTGTATATGCAAATCCAAAAAATATGAATGGAGTGATAAATTACAAGTACAGACTCATCATATTTTTACAGTTTAGATAGGATTTATTCGGCAAACTTTCGAGCTGACGTCATCAATTTTTTGGAGGGGATAAGCAAATATATTTTGACTAAACATTTATTATGCTCTTTATAACCTTAAAACATCTGCAAGATTTCAAAGCATTCGGTTTTGTAGTTTCTGAGTAAATCAGTAAAATAAATTTACGCATTCATTAATTTTTTTGAGTCACCCTGTATATGCAAATCCAAAAAATATGAATGGAGTGATAGATCACAAGTACAGACTCATCATATTTTGTACATTTTAGATATGATTTATTCCACAAACTTTTGAGCTGACGTCATCAAGTTTTTGGAGGGGATAAGCAAATATTTTTTGACTAAAGATTTATGATGCTCTTTATAGCCTTAAAACATCTGCAACATTTCAAAGCATTCTGGTTAGCAGAATAAAAATGAAATTTCAAAATGTTGTTTTATAATTTTGATTTTTTTTCCAAAAATCTAGACGTTTCGGGTGAAAAGTCAATTCGGAGTTGTAAACTACATGTGTAGGACTATGTTATTTTATACAATTGAAAACCCATTTACTATGTACAATTTTGAAGTGACGTCATCGCATTAGTGGTGGGGATGATTAGACAAATTTTGGTTAGCGTTTTACCATCTACATGATATTCTTAATATAAGTGCAAAATTTCACAACAATAGGTCTAGTACTTTCGGAGATTATCTGTCTAATAAAAATCCGGGACGGCAGACGGACGGACAGACGGACGGACAGACGGACAGACGGACAGACGGACAGACGGACAGACAGACGGAAATGGGAGACCTATTTCTTCGTCTTCTAGGGGTCATGAAAGATCGAGAAAACGTAAAAGTAGAGAGTCGGCCGACGGACTCGATTACAATACTTCCTTTGCTTACGCTCGGGAAGTAAAAATCATCACAATTGAGATAGGGCGGGTGGGCGGGGTTACATTCTTTTTTTTTCCTGTTTCTTAATATGTGTAGACTTATTTCGGCAACAAGAAACTTAAAACATGTCTAAAATGGTAATTTTTTGTAGTAACCAATTTAAATTCTCCACTTTTCTTCTACAACCCTTTTAAATACGGTAAAAGTTGAACATCAAAGTTACTATGAACGACAACTTGGTAACGTAGTTTTTTATAAATGACAATTTTCAGCTCTAAAAGCAACTGCAACGGGAACTTCAACGTAAGTGTGCAAATTTTAATTTTATTTAGTTCGAACTTCGAAATAATTATCAGTCAATTTTGCAGAGCAGCAAAAAATTAAATTAAAAAACTTCAACAGTTGGGAAAAGTGGGTAACAAAATGTATAAGCACATCACTTTTTAAATTAAATTATTTCACCAGCTGAATCTTCTACACCCAAGAGATTTAAACTTTTATTATTGTACTTATTACATGTATGTACTTGTGAGATTGGAGGATCTTTCAAATGAGAAGAATTTGACCTTAATTTGTTGAACTATTGTTATCGTGACGTCTAGAGAAATCGAATAAACACTTAGACCCGGGCATTAACTTTTGAAGCAGTTTCACGTTTTTCATTATTCCACACCAAAAAGAATATTTCGTGAACAGCAATTTGTTTTACGACAATAAATAATGGTTAAGATTAAGGTAATGAAGTACGATGAGAGAGCAGTAGCCGAGGTTATGGACGTATTAAAAACATTAATTAATGTTCTTTTGGGGATAATTTTATTTTTCACTAATTTTATTTTTTGGTAATGGATACCGGTTTCGGCCTTCAACAGTCTTTATCCACGTTAAGAACACCAAGTTAATGAAACCTGCTTTTTACACCGAAAAAACATTAAAAAAAAAAACATACAAAACCATTTCCATGCAGCCGACAATAAAATTAAAAAAGATGTTAGAGTTCTGTAGAGGCATTTCTGTAAATAGAATCTTGCACCAAGTTCTATTTTTTGAGTAAGAAAAAAATATATGTCTCAAGTTTTTATGAAAAAAAGAAATATAAAACTTCTGCTATAAAAATTTTAGTGTCCACTACTTCCTCGCTTTTTCTTTCTGTGTTTCCCTCTTTCTCTTTCATATTCCATCTCATATACAAAATATAGTAACACATCATTTTTATTTATTACCGGATTTGTAAACACTTACCAACGTTCGCAATATTGGTCTTTCTACTTTAGACCCACATAATTTGTTTAATACACGAGTAATCAACGTAGCTGCGTAACTTGTTATTAAGATGAAGTACAAAACAATGATTAACGGGTCACAGAACATAACTATTACGTTTTTTAACGAGCAAAACAAAACAATAAAATTAAACTTATAACTTACAACACTCTTTAAATGGTAACATGCAGATTGAACTGTAATATGATTGTTTCACTACATTACTTGAAGCCTTAAAATACTAAACTAAAATGTTATGACTCTAGCGTTTTACAAACAGAGTTGTATTTACACGTTTCAGTGCCTAAAATATATTTTCGTTATAACGCTTGAAAGATGGAATCTTGCTTACTCAGATTAATTCTGAAATTAAGAAAAATCTACACACATTAATGACAAATTGTGACTGTGACAAAATTACTAATTAACGCTGCACACATTTGTACTATTACCATTCAGTAAGTGCAACTCTGTGTTCACAGTTCCTTACTAATGAGAACTTCATGGCATTATTTTTTTAATAACAATAAAAAACACTAGCTGTCTCAATTAACACAGTCATGACAAGTCATACAACGTAAGATCATTATTTTCATACATTCAAATGCATATATTTATCTTTTCCAAGTTATCTGGTACTTATTAATGAAACGCAAACACAAATACACATGGATTTCTTGTCTGTTTACACACAAATCTATTACCAAGTACTAAGTTTAAACGGTTTCGATATAATGATCATCATAATAACATACACATGAAGTCATATGGTTACAGTTTAATGCACTGCTGCATTGCATAACAAAACAGGGTTGCTACAAACTTACCATGAATGGTGATTTCATTGTCCCTGTTAAGTTCATACAATCTCAGGGCTTCATCCAGTTCCATCTGTGTGGAAATAATGCAAGGATCTCCTTCTTCATCTACCCACTTCATCGTAAATAGCTGATTCGGAGCAAACCGACAAATAACGTAAATTTCGTGCAACAAGTCTTCGAAAGTGATGTTGTGGTCGATATATGTAATTAAAATTTCGCCATTGTAGGCGATTTTTGCTCGAATTTCATTTGTGTTATCGTTGGCTAATTGGGTTGGCATTTTTACAAGTGATCTGAAGCAATTAATGATTTTAGTCACGCTTCAAGCATGTTAAAGGCATTAGTCACTCTGGCACTATCACTACTTCCACTACCCCAAAGTACCGTACTTACCAGTTTAATTATGTCGAATTGCGTAATTAAGCTATTAAAAACGAGTAAATAAGTATAAACGCAAACTACACTGAATAAATAGTAAACACAACAGTTTATCAACAGAGTTATAACCTAAATCAGAAAACCAAATAAATGACGTTTGGTAACTTTTCGTTTTGCAAATAAGTCAGTGGTTTCGTGGTCTAGGGTCTTTGCGTTTCGGTAGAAATACGAAGCGCGCTAGATTTAAATTGTGTTGAATTTCAACTGAGATAACTTTAATTTTATTATTGCTTGACGAATATTTTACTACAGAATTCTTTATTTATACGTTAATTTCAATAATAAATTTCAGACAAGTCTTTTTGCAGGTATGACACTTTTATGGCCCTGCTTTTGTGGTTGGCAGTCGTGTTTGGTATGTGACATATGTCATCTACTATTTGTAATCCATGGATTGTTTATATAAAGTTTATAGTGTTTAAATTTCAATCGAGTGCACAAGATCATCAATTAATGTGGTTCCGCCACAAGTGAACCCATTTCGTAGAATTTAGTATAGATCTCTCTAACTTTGATAACCTAACCTCAACTATGAGTGGGTTTAATTATTCTGGTTTTCAAATGAACCAAAAACGCCACAACGCTGTGCCCCCGCCGCCTCTAACCGGGGTGAGCAAGCAGGGGTACTCGACAATGAACGCAATTAGTCAAAATGCTCTGTCGGCGGCATGGGGCGGCAGTCGTAAACGCGCCGCCACAGAGGATGAGTACGCTATCGAAGTATGATGTGAAGGACGGCCTGAAATTGTGTTTTACAGGTACTTTGAAGACGACGATGAAGAAGCTGTACCTGATTTGGCCTACATACCGGCTCCTGGAAGTCCGACACGGGTGGAAGTGAAGAAAAAACAAGAAGTCGTGGCTGACGAAGACGACGACGATCCGCTGGATGCTTACATGGCCGGAATTGAACAACAAGTTAGTATTTAAACACGAAGCGAGAAAATCTTTAAGATGCGTGTTTTTAGATGCAGAAAGAGAAACAAGGGACTTCATCTCAACCAAGCGGTATTCGGAATGATCTCGAAGAAGAAGACGTCGAAGAATCGTATTATCGCTACATGGAAGAAAATCCGAATGCGGGACTAGCACCAGTGGATGACGAAAACCCGGATCTAGAGTATGATGAAGATGGAAATCCTATTCCTCCAGATAAGAAAAAAATTATTGATCCTCTTCCACCAATTGATCATTCAATTATTGAATACAAACCATTTGAGAAAGAATTCTATAGTGAACACCCGGAAATCACAAATTTAACGAACAAACAAGTCGCGGAGTTGCGCAAGACTTTTGATATTACAGTCTCTGGAACAAATGCACCTAAACCGATTTCGTCTTTTGCGCACTTTAATTTTGATGAGAAACTCTTGAAAACTATTATAAAAGCTGAATATACGTCTCCAACCCCAATTCAAGCTCAAGCGGTACCGTGTGCCCTTCAAGGGCGCGACGTTTTAGGGATTGCTCAAACCGGAAGCGGTAAAACTGCTGCGTTTCTATGGCCTCTTTTGATACACGTGTCTGCGCAACCCTCTGTCGTCACAGGAGAAGGACCGGCTGCTTTGATCCTAGCCCCAACCAGAGAATTAGCTATACAAATTTATAACGAAGCAAAGAAGTTTGCCAGAGTTTATGATTTAACAGTAGTGTGTGCGTATGGTGGAGGTTCTAAATGGGAGCAAAGTCTTGCTTTGAAAGAAGGCGCTGACATTGTGGTGGCTACGCCTGGTCGAATAATCGATCATGTTAAAGGGGGCGCCACAAACTTACAAAGGGTCACGTTCTTGGTGTTAGATGAAGCTGACCGAATGTTTGAATTAGGGTTTGAGCCACAAGTTAGGTCCGTTTGCAATCACGTGAGGCCTGACAGGCAAACACTACTATTCAGTGCTACCTTTAGAAAAAGAATCGAGAAATTAGCAAAAGACGCTTTAATTGACCCAGTACGGATCTCACAAGGAATTACTGGACAAGCTAATGAAGATGTTACTCAAAAAGTTTTGTTGATGGAAAATCAACAGTTGAAAAGAGACTGGTTATTCAACAATTTGGTTGAATTGTTATCCGCAGGATCCATTTTAGTATTCGTCACAAAAAAAGTAGATGCTGAGCAGCTCGCCAACGACTTAAAAGTAAAAGAATTTGACTGTTTGCTCTTACATGGAGATATAGAACAAGCCGAACGTAATAAAGTTATCACGGCTTTTAAAAAGAAGGAATGTGGGTTGCTGGTGGCTACGGACGTCGCCGCGCGTGGTTTAGATATCCCCCATATTCGCACTGTAATAAATTATGATATAGCTCGTGATATAGACACCCATACCCATCGAATTGGACGAACTGGACGTGCTGGTCAGCAGGGTACAGCGTTTACTTTGATAACACCAAGAGATAAAGAATTTGTGGGTCATATCGTGAAGAATCTTGAAGCGGCACATCAAGATGTACCCCAGGAAGTGCTCGATTTAGCACTACAGAGTTCTTGGTATAGGAAACAAAGGTATAAGAGTAAAGGTGGCAATCCGAATGTGGGCGGAGTTGGATTGGGTTTCAAAGAAAAAGTCGGTGGTGGGGGTGGTGGAGGAGGAGGGGGAGGCGGAGCTCCAAGAGGTTTTGTTTCCGCCGAATCACCAAGTCAGCCCAGTACACAGACAAGAGGACCTGCCACTGATAGGTTATCAGCAATGAAGGCGGCGTTTAAAACCCAGTATATGAATCAGGTATGATAACTGTTTTTTGAGGTTGTAAGTTATGTATTTTTTTTTACAGTTTACGGCCAGTTCGGAACCGGCGTCACAGATGCATCAGCCGACGTCCGCACCTTCCACGCGGAAGAAGAGTAGGTGGCAGTGAAACATCCATGTGTATAGTGTTTTATTTACAGATATATATTGTAGTAGGTGTACAATATTTTTTCTTTTTTTGTTGTAATTTTATGATGTAATGTCCAGTTGAAAAAAAACCGTTTATGCATGAAGATTACTTTGGAATTGATTTGTGTTGACTAGCCAAAATAAATCATCTAAACCAGGAATATTTTGATAATTTGCTCTATCTGAAGCACCCACAGTTTCTCTACTTAGATAAAATTTTGTCGCTATGAGGTTAATAAACTTGGCAGTTTAATAAAATGTTAGCTCATCATCTGTTGTGTTTTTTCGTAACTGTAGTAATAGATACCAAAACTGCGGCCGGAAAATTTCCGGCTTTTTTAAAACCAGGGAACTACTCAGGTGAGACGATTTTTACCAAAATTTAAACCAGAAATAGTGTGGATACCATCAGTTACCGCACAGTATGATTTACCGGTTATGTGTTTACCAAAATAATTTCTCAGACATATTTCAAGTTTTATTGGAGACTTGTTACCACAGTAATAATAGAAACATTTCAGTAAACTGGATGTAGACAATAACCAACATCAGTAAAATAAAACAGGCGAGTCCTTTCCAGGCAGATAGATTTGAATTGGCATCCCACATTTTTTTAATAATTGTTGTTTTGCAGTGAATTAACTTCCATGCTGAAAATTGAGCTGACTTTTGTACAGAACTTGTAATTTGCTGAATATAAGTGAAATTTTACGTCGTTTTAAATTTGACTTGAACGTTTAGACTGACATGGATGACAGTGATTAAATTTTCAATGTTTTTCCTGATTTATTCAAATTCAATAGCTCTCTGGGTACAGAATAAGACTGCAAAATGTTTGAAAAATATTTCTATTTTATGGAGTGACCACTTGCCTCCTAGTGTGAGTTATAATTACATGAGTTTTAATATCATAAAACAGGTTTACACTGTTATTTGATCAAATTTGAAAACCGTATAACATAGACTGGATTGAAAAATACGTGATTTCCAGATATTAATAATAGTTATTTATGTATCAGTTATTTATCATACAATAGTTGATACCCTCGGGCGATTTATCAACCCTTGGGTTGGAGGCCCTTGGGTCTCTAAACTGTCGCCCTCGAAATGGTGTAAACCTGTGGTATGTACAAACTACTTCCATTGATTAAATACATATGTATTTAATCAATGCTACTTCATAGAATACCCGTGCCATCTTTGCGCATTCTTGTATTGGTTGCATTTACTTCAGAAAAATTTATTTATTTTTTTGGATTTAAGCAACAAATTAACGATGAAAAAGAAATTAATAATTCACAGTATTTTATGCACTTTAAATAAGATTTGTTTCTTGGATGTTTGGATATATCTGATTTTTTGGAATGATTGGGTTTCTTGAGTTTCTTGGATTCCTTCGGTTTTAAATTCTTTGATTTTTGGATTTTTTTGAATTTTCTGAATATTTTCTATTTTTTGGATTATTCGATTTCTTGTCCTTTTTTATTTTTTAGATTATCTACACAACCAGCAATACACGAAGTAGTAGTTGGTTTCCACCGGATTGCGTTTTCTGTTGAAGTTGCCATGCCAACTATTCTTATTAATTCCCTAACAGTGTCGGGCTGTGCCGCCGGGACACCGGGAAATTTCCCGGTGGGCCCCAAAACAATCTACTCCTTTTATTTTATACAGTTATTTACATTTTTCATATATCTAGGATGTTACAATTTCAAATGCAATAAATATTCATAAAAATATAACAGACGCATAAAAAGCTATATACAGGGTGTCTCAGAAATAAGTACATTAATTTTAACCAGTAACAGAACTCGTGAAACGGAACAACTTTTTTATCTAGCATTTTTTCGAAAACTCAAGTCGAATTTCGAATTTTCCCACCCATATATTCACGAGCCGTCTATGTTCACCTTAAATAATAACTTAAATAATAACAACACTACAACAATGAAGAAGGTACCCTAGCAATCGTTTTGACACTGACAATCATTTTTATGTCAATGTTTTTACTAAACGTTGTCTCTTTAAAGTTTGTTTGGCACAGATTTCTAATTTATAAACGAAATGTGTTGAAATGGCTTTGTTTTCAAATGTGGAATGCACCGATATCGTTTTAACGTACGGTGAAGCTCGGGGAAACGGCACTCGCGCCCAACGAATTTTTTCAGAAAACCTCCCAAATCGTCGTCTGCCAAATGTGCGCAGTTTTAAGAACGTTGCAGCATTTTCGAGAGTACGGATCTTTTAAACCTGCACCTTAGGATCGGGGTAAGTTATGTAGTAATAGAATTGCTAATATTGAAGAAGCTGTTTTGAAGAGTGTCGAAGCTCGACCGGGCACTAGCACGTATCACTGTCTAGTGTGATGTATCGGAGAGTAGTATTTGGAGGATACTCAGAGAACAAATGTACCCCTTTCAGGACCAGAAAGTTCAGTTATTGAAACTATCAGACTTACCACGTAGGCAAAACTTTTGTGAGTGGGTTAATAGAAAAATAAACGAACAAGCAAATTTTGTATCTCTTATACCATCAACTGATGAGGTCGGTTACACGAGGGAAGGTGTTCAACACCCACATTTGGGCCGATGAAATTCCGTACGCCATTAGGGAGCAGGATTTTCAATTTCTCTCTAAATGTTTGTCACATTGACAAGATTAGGAAAATACGTATCCTAGTAACTCTTTTTGACCGTAAATTATTAATTATAATAATTATTAGTGTCTATGGGTGACTGAGGATCCATGGGCGGGTAACCTTAATTGGGATAAAATTTCAACAATTTTTAACTTGATAATTAAAAAGTTCTTGACAAAACTTTACTAAAAAAAGTTGTTGAGTTCAATGAGCTCTATAACTGATTAAAATTAATGTACTTATTTCTGAGACACCCTGTATGTAAATATTAAAGAAGAGTATGTTTTTTACAGTGTAAACTCAGTACGAAACAATAGCACGTCCGTTTCCGTCTTTCTCTCTCTCTCTTTCTCGTCTGTCCAAATTTTTATTAGACAGATAATCTCCGAAACTACTAAACCAGTTGTCAAAATTTGATTAATAATCCCTATCAACAATTTGATGACGTCATCTCCAAAATTTACAACAGTAAAAATAATATTTAAATTTTATAAAATAAGATACTCCTGCACATGTGGTTGATGAACCTCTGTTGAGTTTTTATCCAATTTGAGTTTTTTATTGCTTTTTTCATAAAATAAAAAAGTCAATTTTTGTTGTAAAGTTCTTTTCAATGAATTTTTTAACATTTCACTCCATTTTTAAATTTATTTTTTAAAAAGTGGATTTCTAAAGATTTTGTGATTCCAGCAGATCCATATAGAAATCGCTGATGAGATTCTTGCAAAATTAAAAATAAAAAAAAAACTCTTCAACGTCAAAATTAGCCTGGTTCCTTAGAAAAATGATAAAGCACCTTATAATAAATTAAAAAACAAAATGTGGGGTAAAACGTACCATTTTACGTACTACTATAATTTGCCCTTTTTTTGGTATCATAAGTATATATTTAATTTTATAGAATTGCATACCCCTGCATGTGTGATTCATGAATCTGTGTCGAGTTTTCACCCTAGACATCCAGATTTTTGAGAAAAACATCAAAATTGTATAATAACATTTTACAATTTAACTTTAAAATTGCAAAACCAAATGCTTTGAAAACTTGCAAGCTTTTTAAGATTATCGTAAGCATGGTAAATCGTTAATCAAATTTTTTTGGTTAATGGCATTTAAAAAATTATGACGTCATTTTATAACTTCGCAGAACAAATGTTCCTTAAATTTTATAGAATTACCTACATACTCCATGTATGTGTAATTTAGAATCCGTGTTGAGTTTTTCCCCTTGGCATCGAAATTTTTGGGACAAAATTCAAAATTGTATTTTTTAATTTAACTTTGAAGTGGCAAAAGCGAATGTACTGAAATATTGCAAACGTTTGCAAGTAATAGGAAAGATGATAAATCGTTCATCAAGATTTGTTCGACAAAAAATTATGACGTCATCTTTGAATTCTACCGAACAATGTTCTTTAAATTTTATAAAATAACAGTCTTGCATGTGTGATTTATAAATCCGTGTTGACTTTTTACCCTTAGCATCCAGATTTTTATAAAAAAAACAACATTGTATAACAGTATTTTACAATTTAACTTTGAAATTGCAAAAATTGAATCCTGTAAAATCATAAAGATATTTTAAAATTGTTTTGTGTCCTTTCCTCTGCGTTGAGGATACAAAATCAACCAAATGTAATTTTCTTTTAGCCGCTTTTAATCTGAACGTGTTAAAAGTCGAATTCGGGTGAAATATAAACATAAACAGTCGAAGTTAAGCATATACTGGGAAACTGAGAATGTCTATATTTTTTCCAGTTAGTTACCTCCTTTAAATATATTTCATATAGAGTTGCAGGGATGTTAATTACGCCATTTTATAGAGGTTAATAATTATCACGAAACGAAAATCGCAAAATCTAATTTTATATAACTCTTAAAGAAGCGGAATTTGTCGAACTATATACTTCAACGGTGAGGGAAGTTCACATTATTTTCACTAGCTTTGTTTTTCTTGGTAACGTTGTCAAAATTCTAAAAAGAACATAATTTTTTCAAAACGCCAATGACGCAGGCAAAACTGAAAATAATAATAGTAATAATACTCAAACAACATCTGTGTACAATACCACAGGACCCCACTTTGTAAATTTCTGGGTGGACTCCTATGTCCTCAATCCGACACTGTTCCCTAAGGTATTATTTGGTCAATAACGTACCACAAATCCACGCTATTAAAGACCAATAACAAACCGGTAAGACAAAATTTTTTGAATATGTTTTTTGGTCCAACGATGATAGATGAAAGAATTATCTTTTGTATAGACAGGAAATATTTTTACCACTGATTGATGAAAAGAGCAATTTATTTTTAACCTCCGACGTAAAAACAACTCGTAACCATAGACCGGATCCGTGAGAGCAGAAGGACAAACTGCTAGTTTACTAGAACCTCCCGTCGGAATTATTAGCCTTTACGTGGCTAATTGCATTGTAGAAAAAATTGGTCTAATGTTATTTCAACACGACTTCCTTCACCCTTGAAGTACAGTGCAACAAATCCCGCGTTTTTCAAAAATTAAAAACAAAGATTTTGTGAGCTTTTATTTGTAATAATATGATATACATTAAAACAAATATAGATAATACAGTAGCAATGTAAGGAGCTAAATGACATATTATATTTTTTTTGCGTTTTTCTAGGATAATCAACTTTTTTTAATGACATATTTTTTTAGAGATTCTTGTAGAGCTTGTTTTTCTGAATTCATTAATGTATCTTAATATCTTATAGAATCAAAGGGAGATTGCCTTATACCACTTTCTCTCGCAACTGCCCGTTGTTCAATGTAAGGATTTTTTAAAACAAGTTCAGTTCTTTTTCTGGTAGTTGGTAGCTCTTCTAGGGGAATTTGTGGGTAGTATCTGGTGAGAGGGTTGGTACTGAAGTTCACTTGTTTGCTAGAGAAATCGGAAATATGCGAATTTTCGACCGACGCTAACACGTGGTGTAAATTTGATTTATTGTTTGTAAATTCACAATTCATGTTAGGATTTTAATCATTACTGGTTATAACACAACTTAACAGTCATGCGATTGTTCAGATAAATTACTTGCGAGGAGATTTTATGAGATTCACTTAGTCAGGACTCATCCTTTGTTTATCAAGTTATAAATAAGGTTTCTGTGTGCTTATACTTAAGTGTTACATTATAACACTTCTTAATTCCTCACACAAGATTGCTAATATGTAGTTCATTTACGGCAGTTAAATTAACCTATTGTTGTTCTACTTCGGGAAAGGGAACCGTGGAAAGTGCGGTAGAATTCATAACATCGTGGACTAAGGTACGGATTAATTTTTCCCCCCTTAGGCAGTTATCATTTGGACATAATACAGACGTATTTTGTGTTTATTTATCATGTGTTTGTTTGGGATAAGCTGGGGAGAGTCCACGATATAAACTCTCAAAGCTAATTGTTTTTAAGTAACCAGTCACTTGGATCAAGGCATAATTTAACATCATGTAAGTGCTTTGTTTGAATCGTTGATAAAATGTGGCATAATTTAACATCATGTAAATTCTTTGTTTGAATCGTTGATAAAGTGTTATTAACCTCATGTAATTTTGTTAACTTTGCAACTTTTCACCTCCTGCAAGTTTTCTCTATTTTAGCCTCAGTAATTTTCTTTGCTGTATAATTTAAATTGAACGTAAATTTTCATGCTCTGCAGTTCCTAACCTCACGCATTTTTTTTTGTGCCTGCACAAGCTTTACTTCACATCAGATCTTTCTTTTTGTTTTTATAAATCTTTGCTAGCTTTTTCCCATGTAAATACTTTGTTGATTAATGTTTCCATCATAAATTGTCTTTGCTGTTTCAAATTTCACGAGAGTGTATGGCGAATTTAAATGTTGTTTATATTGTTCTTTTTGGAACTTTCACGCTTGTTCGCTTGTAGTTTAATATCAGAGTTATAGAAATTGAACATTTAAATGGAATAACTAATAACTCAGAAACACGTGGCGGAAGCGGAGTGCGCGGTTCCTTGTCGAGACGCAGATCTTGAGTACCAGTCAGGGGAGCGGTCGGGAAGTCGTGACGCTCGCGTCTTGTACCAATAGCCGGGATTTCCAATCACGAGTTTGCGACCGTAACGGCTTGTTAGCGCGACAAGTTTCTTTGTTAGATAGAGGGGTAGGAGAACAGCCACAACCAGAAGCCCCAAACTCCACTCGTGCCACAACGCCCTCTATGGGTAATTTTGCTGTGCTCTAGAACGAAATTGATATAGCTCGATCGCCACACTCTTACAGCGACCCGGGTGTCCCTCAACTTTTGGAGTCATAAGAATTCACGAGGAGGAGCTCTGGTGCCGTTGTCACTGTGCGGCCTGCTGCATAGTTTTTATTAAAATGTTGTTCTCTTGTTGACTGCCACAATTTTAAATTTGTCGTCACACGTCCGTAATAACTTGTGTATTTGCATCCAGTTACTTTACTTCAGATTTTTTCTTTGTTTTTATTAAATTTGTGATATTTAAATATTTGCATTGATTTCGAACGTTTAATTTGATTTTATTCAAAGAAGAAAACTACAAGATAATGTAAACTTAAAAGTCTGTCTTTAATGGTCTCTTACTTGGCGTTGTGACTTTCAGGTTCAGTTTAGAAAATCTTAGAGGGTGGACAACCTCATTAAATTTTATTGTCGGATTATGGGGGGGTTTAAAAGGACGGGCTCTATCGGTTACCTGTTATAGATTTGAGTGGATCAGAAAAATGGCTAAAGTTTGTTTGACCACAAATTTTAAATATTCTGCCCCTGCTTTCTCAATTATTTATTAAGATATTTTATTTCTGTAAAGCGCAATGGATTTTTTAATACAATTTCTGCTAATGTATTTTTTTGAAAATTTAAAATTGATCCATAAATAGCGAAAACCAGATAATCTCATACTCATCACAATTTTAACGCGTTGTAATTTTTTTTTTTGACAACAAAATTTAAAAAACGGAAAAGCAGTCTGGGTAGGGTTTTTTACGCTCATTTCAACGGTGTAAAGTTTATTATAATCGAACGTATACTTTTGACAAAAACTTGGGTAGCAGTTTATATGTATTTCTCTATGCTGGAACATGCTTGAGCTCACCCTTAAAATGGTGAAGAGCTTATGAATATTATGGTTACCTGGTTTCTTAATAAACTCGTCGTAGATTAGAGACAAACCAAGTATAATAATCCCAGCAGGTCAGGTAAAGGATTCTTAGAGAAAAACAAAACAATATTTTTGAGTATTTGTGTAAAAAGTAATTGTAGAGTAACGAATTTCTTCCAATCACTAATTATGCAGCACACAATACATATATTCTGCAACCAGTAAAACACAACGTACCTACACGATTATTTACAGTTTAATAAAATTTCACAGTAATAAAATCGCCAATAGACAGACCAACTAGGACAGATAGACAAAAGGTTTACTGTTTACTCAATAATTAGTGAAAACTCGAGATGTTAATAAATAGGTTCACTTCACTTTACCTATGTGAAATATGCCAGAAAAACAATAGATCTTAATTATTATACTTATGCACGATTTCTTTCATTTCTGAACTATTATTTTATTTCCTTAGATGAACTGGCCTTCGTATCTCCACACATCAACCCATGCAAAAACTTTTATGCTTATTCTTGCAACTCATGGATTACTCATGTAAAGAAACCACCATACGAACCCATCTGGAACCCATGGATAGAAGTGAACCACAAAATAAAGCAACGCTTATCAAACATCCTAACCCGCCATGATCCGCTTCTGGTTAAACCGCAAATATTCCACCGTTCTTGCATGAGAATCATAGACCACGAAACAAAATATTTACAAGAACTCAAATCGCTGGTGGAAAATTTAGGAGGTTGGCCGTTAACTGATAAAAACTGGAACGATGCGAATTACCAGTGGTTTCATCAACTAGCAAAAATCACAAAAACGTTGGGGATTCATCCGATTTTGAAAATTCACGCTGATTTGGACTATTTAGATCCTAAGCAGTTTGTGATCTATGTAGAACCTGGAGATTTAATTTTTCCTCAGTATATTTTAACGGGGAAAAATCATCTTGCAGAGTTGGAAGCATATGAAAAGTGGATTTTGGATACCGCGACACACATGTATGACGACATGGCAGACCGTATTTTTCCGAGTGAAGTTAAAGAAATTATAAAGTTTGAAATGCATTTGGCGAAAATTATGGATTTAAAACAATGGCATGAAAGAACGACTGTTAAAAAAGTACTAAAAAAATTTTCTGTCGATTGGATGGGAGTCTTAAATGGTATTTTTGGTGATTTCACCGAGATACAATATAATACGACTCTTGCTATTAAAAATTATGCATATTTAAAAAATGTGCTTTTCTTGATTAGCACAACAAAACAGAAAACGGTGGCTAACTACATAATGTGGTCCGTTATTAAAGATTTGTCACGAGATACTACTCATCATATGCGAGAATTGAATTTTTTAATTGATCATGCTATTTTGGGTGTTACTGGCGATATTTCGAGAGACTATGAGTGCCTAGACAAAGCTATTAAATATTTTGGTTCTTTGCTAGTCCCTCCATACTTAAAATCATTTGTTAGTCCTCAAGTTTTTTCAAAAGTAACATCAATGGTTAATTCAATTAAAACAGAATTTGTAAATATTTTACATAATAATCACTGGTTAAGTAAAGAAGCAAAAATAGCTACAGCTGAAAAAATTAATAATATTGAACTATATCTAGGATATCCTTCCGAAATTTTCAATGGAACTCCAGCAGAACATTACCATCACACAGTAAGTCCTCAGTCACGAGTTAAGAAAAGTTGTTTGGAATTAAAAAATATCTTTTAAAGAACTACGTTTGCTTAAAAATGCGGGTCCTCTGTACTGACATTTTCATTAAGCTTTACAAAGTGGTATATTTTAAATTTTATCGTCTCACTAATCACAGCAGTGAGACGATAAAAAATTGCCACCTGTATATATTTTTTTAAATATGTTTTAAGGTTCAAATGACGAGTGATCATTTCATGAACATAATTAAGCTGAAAAGTTTCCAGCAGAAACACCTTCTGTCGCAGATTTCCGAAAAAACTAATCCTGTAGTGTAAGTACTTAAAATCAAAATAATTATGAATAAAATTATAATTTGTACTGCAGTTGGCCTTCCTCTCCTTTCGATGTTAATGCGTACTACAGTGTGTTACAAAATGCAATCTGTGAGTTTTATAACAGTATGTAATGTGAATACATGCATAGTTTTTTCGTTTCAGTTGTACCTTTGGGGCTTTTGCAACCTCCATTTTTTCACCCAAATCGAGAAACAATTTTTAACTTTGGCGCTTTAGGAGTGTTAATTGGACACGAAATTTCTCATTCTTTAGATCCTACTGGTATTTTGGCTGATGCTACAGGAAAAATTGCTAAATGGCTACCAGAACAGGACTTAGCTGCTTACAGAAAACACATTCATTGCTTTGGGGATGATGCAACAATATTGGGGGAGAACATAGCTGATAGCAGTGGACTAAAAATTAGTTTGGAAGTTATAAAAAATAAAAAAGTTAATCATAAACTTAAATATTTTTTCATTAGTTTTGCGCAGGTACAGTTTGCTCTCACAGTACACATATAATGTAATTATAATTTTTTTTAGATGTGGTGTGAAACGTCTGCAAACATGGAAATGTTTACTGGTGATGAACATGCCACAAATGCCAACCGAGTAAAAAATTTAATCAATAACAAGGACTTCCAAGAAGTATTTGCCTGTGATTCTAGCAAATCTTGCGAATTATGGTAGTCAATAAATCTTTAAATAAAATCGGCAATTATTTTCATTTTTATTTAAAATGAAATGACAGGACAAACTATCACAGTGGATGAGTTTTAAACCATTCAAAGCCCAAGTTTAAATATTGCACCCTTGTATATGGCATTCAGGGGCTTCAAAAGGTTCAAATTACTGATTTGTGGGCAGTGTGACACTATCAAGTAAAATTGACGCCCTTAATCCAATAAAGAGAGTAAAACTTTACCTAATAAAACATTACACTTGTACTTGTTAATAAAATTAGCCAATTTGTTTTTCCAACTCGCGTATTTGCATCAATAAGTCGTTTTTTCTTTGTATTTTTGTAAGTTGTTCAGGCTCAGGTTTCGGTATCAAACCATTTTTCAATTTTTCTTCCAAAGCTTCCACTTCCCTTAGTCGCTTCTTCAAATTTTTCAGCTTTTTAGCTGGATCTGTTTGTGCAGGTGTGTCTTTTGTTTTTTCACTAATTGTGGTGTTTTCTAGCTGCTTTGTTACTTCTTCAACTTCTAAAACATGCAATATTCAGCGAGTGAACGTCGAGTGTAAATAAAAACGTACTTTTATTTTTCTTTTTAGGTTGTTTTTTTTCTTTGTCTTCTATAATAAAAAGCCCGGGAATGGGACGGTGTGCTGTTTCTCCCGTCGATAGCTTGACTGGTTCAGGTTTCGTATTTTTGTTCATGAATTGTTTGCCCTTACTTTCATACAATGGCACTTCTTCTTGTGGGACATAGCCTTCCTTAACTCTGCGAGCTTTACGCCAAGTTCCGTCAGGTCTTTGAGAAGCAGGTATAAAAGTATCCCCTGAAGAGAGTAATTTTGAGGTTAGCTTTATTGAATATTTCAAAACAATATACCGCTTTCAGTCACAACGTTATTGGAATACATTTTAAAATTCCTGTTAAGAATTTCTTTTGTATTCACGTCCTACTTAACAAACAGCAGCAAAATTCGTTGTTTATGTCTTGTTACGACTGAAACATTTTTCAATAACACACTTTTCCACCACTAGCACACTGCTACTGCCATGGTTGCTGTCAATACTGTCATTGCAGTAATGTCAAGCTATTGCCAATATTTTGTGTTGGTGGGTTGGTAGTGCGACATACAATTTACGCAGGAAGTGGCTAGTCTCTTCTAGACGGTAACATACGGTAATTTAATGAAATAAACTATAAACATTTTTAATTTGCGAAACTACAACCAAAAGAGTTAAGCCAGTTGTCCATTATCGATTTTTATTCTCAATACTTTTATAGCATTAAATTTTATGAAAGAAAATTAAATTTTTGTATATGCAACCAACAATAACAAAGTGATTATACGAAAAGAACGTATAGTCGACGCACAATGAAAAAACTAGGAAACAAATATGTTGGTAACGGAATATCAGTAATTTTACCATTCTTAGGCCTGCTAATTATTATTAATGTTAATATTAATATTATTATTAGGAGAGCGATCGGGTAGAGGCTAGCCTGTTATGCCCGCGCTAAATCAAGTGGGGGTAAAAGTGAAAAAACTAAGTTTTAGAACAATCTTTGTCATATTCGGTTTTGAAGCCCACTTCCCGCTACGGATGAGGCTAAAACAATATCTTTGGGCAAAACGTTCCAATCATCAAACACTCTATTCATTATGAAGCTCTGTCTTACAGTGGTGCGAAATTTGTCTTTAAGTAGTTTAAGTGGATGACCTCTTGTGCAATCAGATGTGTTCGGTGGAAATAGGCATTTAATTGGTGAAAGATCGTTGCTCAACGCCTGGTATATAAGGTCGCCTTTTTTACGTCTTTCAGCGATAGAGCATAGATTGATTTGTTTCAGCCTATCGGGGTATGATCTTCGATTTTTGTCGAATGGAATCCTAGTTGTACTACGTTGTACAGCCTCCAAGAGGAAAATATCTCTTTGGAGGACGAGACTTAAGACTTCGTTGGCAAATTCCGGGATGGGTCTAACGTACGTTTTGTAAAGCTTCAAAAAACTAAGGGATTGGCTTTGACAAGTGTTTTGCTTAAAAGAAAAAGCATTTTATTAGGCTTCTTCGTGACCTGCAAGATATGGTCAGACCAAAGGAGGCTGGAGCAAACGTGAACACCCAAATCCATATGGCATTCAGTGGTGGCAAGCCTGTACCTTTCGATACTACACACGTGTCGGGGATTTCCTTTACCAAGATGCAAAGTAACGCATTTGTCTAAGTTTATGAGCAATAACCAAACTTGAAACCATTTGTAAAACGAACGACGGTCAGGTGATAAGGATGAAAAATTGTCGCAGACGTTGTAGAGCTTGATGTCGTCTGCAAACATGGCAAAAGACGATGTTATAATATTCTTTTAATGTCGGCTGTATACGCTATAAAAAGCAGAGGACCCAGTACGGACCCCTGAGGCACTTCACTCAGAACATCAATTGATCTACTGAGAGCGTCTCCAGTCTTCACTCTAAAGGTTCGGTCACTTAGGAGTGAATCAATCCATGGATGCAAATTACCGCGTAGTCGAAGATGGTCCAATTTATGTAAGAGTCGGCCTTTCGGAACTCTGTCGAACATCTTCGAGAAATCAAAATATACGTTATCCAACGGTCGTTCCGAATCTGCATCTTTTGTCCAGTCGGACATGTAGCACAAGAGGTTTGACTGAACAGATCTACCGGGCAAGAATCCGTGTTGTTCGCGTGGAATGAGCTGGTGTGTCACTATAGAAATGCAGTCATGTGCTCATATATCATGGATTCCATCACCTTGACCACAAGAGATATTAAAGTGACAGGCCGGTAATTAGAAGCATCAAACTTATCGCCTTTTTCGAAAACCGGACGAATTATTGCCGTTTTCCAGTCTAAGGGAGCTTTTTCCGACATGAAAGATTTTTCCATCAAAATTGAGAGTGGAACCGCGAGGGACAGTCTTTCAAAACATTGACCGAAATAAGATCTAGACCAGGGGATTTGTATATTTTTGTTTTCTTTAGTTTACTAAGACTATCTCGCTAGAAAAACTCGGGTCTTCAATACAGTTCGGATTATAGTTGCTGGACAAACTTAAATCCTTTAGAGGAGGATCTACTATGACCCCTCTGGCAAATGTGTCTGCAAATAGATTCGCAACACTGTCGTTTTCGTGGACTGCTACACCGGAATCATCTTTGAGTTGAAGTGATCTATGTTGTGATTTCGGGTTTTTACTTTTACTTCTTTTTATTAGAAAATTGGAAAATTAACTTTTGTTAATCATTTATTTATAATTATTATTGTTTTTTTTTTTACATAGCAACTGTTCCAATATAAAATTAACACTCTTATTAAAATTTCATTTCCATCAACAACTCATTAACACCTTCTCCAAATTTTATTAATTGATGCTTGACATAAATTGTTCTTTCAGGTTTTCAAATTTAATGTTTCCAAGAGGTTTGGTAAATATGTCGGCGATTTGTTTTTCAGTTGAACAATACTTTATGTTTATAATACCTTCTCGCACCTTTTCATTTATAAAATGAAATCTTACATCTATGTGCTTGCTCCGTCGATTGAACTGTCCGGTTTTCACTATTGAGATTGCACTCTGATTATCAACGTACAAATCTATCTTCACTTCACCATTGGTAAGTTCATCAATTAGAGATTTGAGGTAGAGAAGTTCTTTAACACATTCTGCAGCAGATATACAGGGTGTCTCAGAAATAAGTACATTAATTTTAACCAGTAACAGAACTCATGAAACGGAACAACTTTTTTATCTAGCATTTTTTCAAAAACTCAAGTCGAATTTTGAATTTTCCCACCCATATATTCACGAGCCGTCTATGTTCATCTTAAATAATAACTTAAATAATAACAACACTACAACAATGAAGAAGGTACCCTAGCAACCGTTTTGACACTGACAGTCATTTTTATGTCAATGTTTTTATTAAACGTTGTCTCTTTAAAGTTTGTTTGGCACAGTAGGCACAGATTTCTAATTTATAGACGAAATGTGTTGAAATGGCTTTGTTTTCAAATCTGGACTGTACCGATATCGTTTTAACGTACAGTGAAGCTCGGGGAAACGGCACTCGCGCCCAACGAATTTTTTCAAAAAACCTCCCAAATCGTCGTCTGCCAAATGTGCGCAATTTTAAGAACGTTGCAGCATTTTCGAGAGTACGGATTTTTTAAACCTGCATCTCAGGATAGGGGTAAGTGACGTAGTAAGAGAATTGCTAATATTGAAGAGGCTGTTTTGAAGAGTGTCGAAGCTCGACCGGGCACTAGCACGTACCACTGTCTAGTGGGATGTATCGGAGAGTAGTATTTGGAGGATACTCAGAGAACAAATGTACCCCTTTCAGGACCAGAAAGTTTAGTTATTGAAACTAACAGACTTACCACGTAGGCAAAACTTTTGTGAGTGGGTTAATAGAAAAATAAACGAACAAGGAAATTTTGTATCTCTTATACCATCAACTGATGAGGTCGGTTACACGAGGGAAGGTGTTCAACACCCACATTTGGGTCGATGAAATTCCGTACACCATTAGGGAGCAGGATTTTCAATTTCTCTCTAAATGTTTGTCACATTGACAAGATTAGGAAAATACGTATCCTAGTAACTGTTTTTGACCATAAATTATTAATAATTGTAATAATTATTAGTGTCCATGGGTGACTGAGGATCCATGGGCGGGTAACCTTAATTGGGATATAACTTTAACAATTTTTAACTTGATAATTAAAAAGTTCTTGACAAAACTCTACTAAAAAAAGTTGTTGAGTTCAGTGAGCTCTATAACTGATTAAAATTAATGTACTTATTTCTGAGACACCCTGTATACTCAGCTTCTGTGCTTGAAAGTGAAACTATTGGCTGTTTCCTGGAACACCACGATATGGGTCCACCACAAAAAAATATTATGTACCCTGTTGTACTTCTGCGTGTTTCAGTGTCCCCTGCAAAATCTGAATCACAATAGGCAATCATTCTCTCACTGTTTTGGCCATCGTAGCACAGTCCATCATTTTTTGTAGATATCAAATAGCGAAACACTCTTTTTACTGTTACAATGTCTTGATTTGAAAAATTTTCCATTTTTCTACTACAGTAATTCACTGCATATGATATGTCTGGTCTGGTCTTGTTGTTTAAATATAATAAACTTCCAACAGCTTCTCTGAATGGATAATTAATTTTTACCATTTTATCTTCTGAACTTATATCTTGTTTGACCATGGGGGTAGGTACAGGTTTGGAGTTTTGCATATTAAATTTTTCTAAAGTTGCTTGTACATAATCTTGTTGTGAAAGTATAACTTTTCCATCATGTTTTTGAATACTAATTCCTAAAAACCTATTAGGATTTTTTTCACTTGTCATTTCAAATTCGGTTTGAAGATTTTTCAATAACAATTTCATTTCTTCTTCACATTTGCTGATCAATAATCCGTCATCTACAAAGATTGCTAATAACATGGTCTTTTCTATATTCGTAAATAAACATTGATCACTAATAAGTGGTTTTAAACCATTCAGTTTTAAAGATGTAGTAAAACGTTCATTCCATTTCATAGGAGCTTGTTTTAGGCCATATAGCGATTTCGACAATTTACACACTTTGTTTTCAGTTTGTTCACATTTGAACCCCTCTGGTACATGCATAAAATTTCTTCTGAAATATGCATTTGGTGCATATCCTACAAAAAGATACCTTTTACTTCTAGGGTCAAGTTTGTGTAAATTTCCCAGTGTCTTTGCATATGCTACAGAACCAAATATTTGTAATCTGGACAGATCAGGTTTCATTTTGGTCCAGTATTCTATTGGTGTTTTGTCTATTGCTTCTGTAGGACTTCGATTTAACAGATACGCTGCTACATACGCAGCTTCGCCCCAAAAATCTTTACTTAGCTTGCTGTCAAAAATGCTGTTTTTACGTCAAATTTGGTAACTGACATATTATACTTGGCAGCCAGTGCTAACATTATTCTTACTGAGCTTATGTTCACAACTGGACTGAATGTTTCGTTGTAATCTATTCCCTTATGTTGTTGGCACCCTCTTACTACCAACCTTGCTCTATATTTTCCATTATCTTTAACTTTGAATACCCACTTGCTTGTCAGAATGCGATGTTTGTCTACTTCATTTATATTCACGTAACTCCATGTAAGATTTTTATTCAGAGATTCTTTTTCTTCACGTATAGCCTCAAGCCATTTGTCCTTTTCTGGTCCCTTGACTGCTTCTTCATAAGTCAATAACGCTTCTTCTTCAACAAAGTTTACAATATAATCTTTAAGTTTTACAGATTGTTTTAATTTTCTTCCACTTCTTGTTTCTGCGGTGCCTTCTCCTCTTCTTGATTCTGTGATGCCTTCTCCTCTTCTTGATTCTGTGATGCCTTCTCCTTCTCCCAAAATTATATTTTGTACTTCTATTTGATTTGGTTTTTGTCTAATGTCTTGTTCATTTTCAGTTTCGGTTTCTGAATTTTCACCTGTATTGTTTTCTTCTAGTTCTGCATTCTGTTCCTGATTTTCTTCGTCGCTTTCTATAAAATTTATTTTGCTTGTTCTTCTGTAATCAGCCAAAGATTGACTACCTGGTTCATTGAAGATAACATCTCGGTGTATTTTTATTTCCTTAGATTTTTCATCCCATAAGCGGTAACCATTTGGTGCATATCCTACAAAAAGATACCTTTTACTTCTAGGGTCAAGTTTGTGTAAATTTCCCAGTGTCTTTGCATATGCTACAGAACCAAATATTTGTAATCTGGACAGATCAGGTTTCATTTTGGTCCAGTATTCTATTGGTGTTTTGTCTATTGCTTCTGTAGGACTTCGATTTAACAGATACGCTGCTACATACGCAGCTTCGCCCCAAAAATCTTTACTTAGCTTGCTGTCAAATATCATCGCTCTTGCCTTTTCCAATAAGGTTCTATTTAATCTTTCTGCTTTTCCATTTAGTTGTGGACTATGGGGTATAGAATAATCCAGAACAATGCCTTTATTTTTTGTCCAGAGTTTAAAATTCGATGACGTATATTCACCACCATTGTCACAACGTATTTTTACCACCTTTTGATTATGATAAGCTTCTGCTTCTCTAATAAAATCTTTTAAATGTTCTGATACTTCACTCTTATACTTCAATAGAAAAATTCTACAATAATGAGTATAATCATCTAACACTGTTAAAATGTATCGTTTTCCATCCCAAGTTTCAGGATCGATTGGGCCGCATACATCTGTATGTAGAATTTCTAGTGGTCTTCTTGCCCTCTGTCTCGTTGTATTAAAAGGGAGTCTTGTTTGCTTTGCTTTCATGCAGACTTCACAGAAACCCATTTGACACTTCTTTTTATTCAGTTTCATGCCTGTCGATAGATCTATTAATCTTTTTATATTCTTTGTTCCCAAATGTCCTAGCTTTCTATGCCAGTCTTTTACTGAAGTATTTTCTGCAAGATAACTCTCTTCCTTACTTTGATTTATACTAACCATATATAAACCACTTTCAATTTTTTTTCCTTCAAGTATTTTTTCATTGTTTTTCTTTATTACTACCTTTTCTTTAGTAAATGTTACTTCACCATCATTCTCTGTTATAGCATTAACTGACAGTAGATTTTTGCTTAATTCGGGTACAAAAAGTACATCATTCAGTATACATGAACTTCCTTCAACTGTTCCTTTCCCTTCTGCCTTCATTTTTTCATTCTTCTTTGCAACTTGTATGTTACTTTCGATATTTTCTAATGCTGTAAACATCACTTTCGAGTTGACCATGTGGGATGAACATCCTGAATCAACTATAAAATCTTGCGTTGTCAATCTTCTGTCTTCTGTAAGAAAGGCTATCTTCTTTTTTTCTAATG